GGTGTCATGACCAACATGTTCACATGAAGGTGACAATCTCAGAATATGAGTTTCATGTGTCAAACACTCTGACTTTGCACATGCATGAGTCTCAGAACAAGCATGAGCGTCATGAAAGGTCCCAATCTCACAAATATGTTCACCCATTTCACAAACATGTTCTCACACATAACCACTCCTCTCACAAACGTTTTCACACATGTTTCGCAAATCTCAAAAAATAAAGTTCACATCTGACCACTGCTTCACTGCGCCGAGCATCATGGCACTTCCTCGTCACGTGCTGGATGGAATGCAAGAGCTCCTGCACAAGGAGCCTGAGAAGTTGGTGAAGACCGTGCAGTCCTGCCTGGACTTTTTGACGGAGCACGGCATAGTCACGACAATGAAGCTGCCACCACTGGCAGTTGGAGTCCACCCTTCCAACCGCGATGGTTGTGGAGTGAACCCAAGAGACGTTCACGAGCCCACCGACAACATCACTGCCGTTGGATGGGTGGATGCCAAAGTGGCAGGCATAGCAGTTGAGATTGAGGATTCGTGAAAGATTCTCACGATCGAAAAAATCCGTTATGACATGCTTTTCATCACATGACACGAACCTCATGCCATGTCACGCTGCGACATTGCATTCAGCACCATGACATGGCATGCCCTCCGCATTCAGCCTGCCGCTCCTAGGTTTGGAGCTGTTGAACACGCTTCGACGTGTCAGATGCTCAATGAAAACGGTCTGCAGACAATTCTGGACACCATGCTGCTTGAAGTAGATTCGAGAGTGGACCCATTCTTCAGCAGATGTGATTTCCAAGTCTTCTATAGAGGTTCAAAGGTTGAGGTTTATCGCACTGCGAGGGATTAATCTATGAGCATCCGTTTTGAGGCGTGAGCGATCTTCTTGATCTTCCTGGCAGACCTGATGCCGGCTTTGCGGCCTGACCTTTGGTCGCACGACCTTCACTCCGGCAGGTCGTGAGCTGGAAAAGAGTGAATCCCAATATACTATTGTTTATAATATAACAAATTTTCATTCGGTAATGCTTCACGATTTTTCCCAATATTAAACCAAATGATTGGGTAATGCAGCCAAATTTGTATAATATTAGAAAATTTCATTGGGTAATGCAGCCAAATGTTTATAATATTAGAAAATTTCATTGGGTAATGCAGCCAAATTTGAATAATATTATAAACTTTCATTGGGTATTGCAGCCATTTTTATAATATTATAAAATTTCATTGGGGTAATGCAGCCAAATTTGTATAATATTAGAAAATTTCATTGGGTAATGCAGCCAAATTTTTATAATATTAGAAAATTTCATTGGGTAATGCAGCCAAATTTGTATAATACTATAAAATTTTGTTGGGTAATGCAGCCAATTTTCTATAAATATAAAATTTCATTGGGGTAATGCAGCAAAATTTATATAAAAATATAAAGTTTCATTGGGTAATGCTGCACAATCTATATAATGTTATAAAAATCTAGGTCTAGAGCCAATCATATTTTTACAATATTGCTAAACTACGGTCTTCTAACATGTTGGTGGCTGAGACGGGCTGACACAAGTTGAGACTAGTTTCAGACGATTTTGCAGATCATACGCAGCGATGAAACGCACATTGTTTTTTGTGAGATGTGGTTGAGCTCTAGTCTTGCTCTGAGCACTTGCCGAACTGGTCAACTGCTAGAGGCTTGAGACAATGTTAAAAAACACTTTGATATGTGGTTGAGCTCTATAGTCTTACACTGAACATTGGCCAACTCAGTCAACTGCTAGAGGTTTGAGTGAGAAATTGTTTTGCGAGTGGTTGTTCACAGCTGTACTTGTGTTGTGCTCTCTCACGTCTACGGCAGTTCTTGTGTCTGTTGTTCTTGTTGTTGTCATGTGAAACGCAACGCAAGACAACATGACAAAATCCATGACCATGACAACGTGTCAGGACGCATGTCAACACAATATTGGACAGCGTGTGGAGACACGTGTCAACAGTTCGTTTTGATGGGCATGACATCCTGCTTTTCTCCTTAATCATGTTTGTTTGGTGTGTGATGTCCCAACTCCTATCTGAGCTGAACGAGATCCAATCCTTCCTCACAGCGCAGAAGAACACTTTGGGGAAGCACTTCACTGAAGTACGGGACGCGCAAGCAAAAGGTTTGGTTGGGACGCTCTGCTTGCGCTTTTCACATGTCATGTCACGCATGCATGTTTTGGGCTTTTGTTTGTGGGAGGGCGGGTTAGTTGCTGTCAAAGTTTGCCCGGGAGATACAACTTCACTTGTCTACCTTCCAGAACAGTCATGGATCGGAATACTGGACGCCAAAGTTCCACAGCTGCTTGCATTTACCGTCCATGTGGAGAAAACATCAAGTGCTCCTGGCATGCTTCTGCCAGGAGAGGAAGCGCCGCATGAAGCGCATAGTGAATCAAGTGAACAACCCTGGTCGTTTGGAAAGAGTGTCATGCAGGACACTACTCTGAGACAGTTCGAGATGATGGATGATGAGGTTTCGATTCCACGCGAGTGGCCATGTTTGTTGAAGGCGCAGTCGGCTTCATCAAAGATCTCTGACATGATTTCGATGGCCCTTCAGCTTCCTGCAACTGTTGTTGTCAAGTCTTCACGAAAGGGCATCATCGGCTGGTCTTTGTTGAGGCCACGGTCGACCGCAAACACATTGGCAAAGTGAGGTGGCTCTGCAGTGTTGAGGACACATGCATGGCATGCCTCGACGTGTGGGAGCATGTGACGCAGTCTCAACTGCCAGCTTGTGCCTCTTGCATGTGTCACAGACACGTGCATGCACTGCATGAAGGAAGGGGGAGCGCTGGCGATCTGGTGAAAATAAGGCTTCTGCATCAATCTGTCAACATGCTCATGGGTTCACATGACATGCAGTCAACATTACATGAGGCCCACACATGCAGTCAACACGTTCATGAGGGCAATATGACGTGCAGTCAACGCGTTCATGGGATCATATGACATACACTGGCCCCCTCGCAGGTGACGCCAGCAGCTGCCGTGCCCAGGAGGGAAGAGCGGCTCACACAGGGTTGGAACTCTTTTATGGAAACACTTAGGACACTTACTAACTGCTCTAAGTGCACATAGCTAAGTGTGCTAAGTGTTCTCGTATGTGTTGTATATGGTTAGTATGTATGCTGAGTGTTTACTAACCACGGTGGACCTTTAAGTATCATATATACTGAAACACAATATACATTCAATAAAATTTTGGCATCGCTCAAAATGTCGGAAGGTATACCACACTATCTGCTCTGGGAGAAGCTTTGAGCTTTGCAACTTGCCACATCAACAAGGGCCATGCCACTGGAAGTACCTGATTACCCACTGCAGTGCACCAGTGTGAAGGGGTCTACGCCCTTTTCTTGGGTGTATGTGAGTATATAAGCGGAAAATTGCACTCCTTCGAAATGGCAATTGCAGGGGGTTTAAGACTCATACACACTCATACCATTTGGTGGCGTTTTGGTAAACCGTTCAGGCAGGGCCGCTGGCCACAGCTTGTAAGTTGTGGGAATGAGCCTTCCTTGCTTCATCTGACCAGCGAAAGAAGCTTGCAAATGCTTAAAATCACGAGATCTCTAGACCTTCCCCCATACCAGTTTCGGCCCAATCCGATCCTCAATCACCGCCCATGCCCAACAAAAGGTGAAGGTCGACTGCAGTCTAAAGCTGTGCGGTGCGCGGGCATTCGCTGCCCCTGTCCAGAAGCCAAAGATCTAAAGTCTAAAGCACACTTCCTGATTCTTCCAAATGACCTTTTGATCCCCTGGTTTGAGGTCACTTAGGCCGGTAATAGGTCACTTAGAGACTTCAAAGAGGTCACTTGGAAGAAGCTAGTTTTTTGAATTAATGTTGAATTCATGCTTTCCACCCTTCCATCCTCCCATCCAATTACTCCACCTTCCTTCCCTCAGGTGGCACCTCAGTGGAGACGGACTTGAGTTTGCTCACCGGCGGGCTGAGCAGCTCGCGCGGCAGGGGTGCCAGCGTCACCAGCGTCTGAGGTGATGCCGCGTCGGGCACCGCGGGCGCTGCGGGCGGTGGCGGTGCTACATGAGGAGCTTCTTGAACCATTGCTGGTTGCAGCCAGTCGAAGCATTGGGGAGAAAGAGAGATATCTAACGTGGAGGGGAGGAGATCATTCACCCATTTGGTGGAGGTCTTAGAGCATGGTGTTTCCTGCGGTCCGACGCCTAGGTCCCGCGGACACGGCGCCCTAGAAGTGCGTGGCGAATGCTGACGGATGGAATGAGACGGACTTGGACCTTGAAGTGGGGCTCATCCAAATGGAGACCCGTTCCTTCCGCACTGAAGAAGTGCTTGGGACTTCGGCTCTCTGCAGCGTGATTACACGAACAAAGCCCACCCATTCCAGGCTCTTCCCTCGGGCGATCGTTAGGGAGGCCTTATTTGAGTGGGCGATCAAGAGGCGAGCAACACAGAGATGAAGAAATCTAAATGACACTCCTCACTCCATGTCGACGGAATATATACCTACATTGGGGTTTTTACCATGAGGGGTCAATGTAGGTATACTATTCCACACATGGAGTGTGTTGGGCCTTGGATGGCGTCTTGTCTAAACCCCCTGCCCATCGGTTCTTGGATCGGTCTTGCTTTCGATGGTTCTGGTTTTAGGTCGGTGGTACCCCTCGATCGGTGTCATTCTGCGATTGGTCCGCGGTCTTTCCATCCCTCAGCCGGTCGAAGCCCGGCGAACAGGCTTCCCATTCCGGCGTCGAAGCCCCCAAATCGATGTCCCGATGTCGAACCGCGCCATGGATTGCCAAAGAAGTACAGTATAGTAGGTTTTGCATGGTTTTGATGATCCAAAAGCTGCGCAGATCGTTTTTTGCATGGCGAAGGAACACAACATCCTTGTGTTCCAAATCTTGATCTCTTCCATCAGCTTCCCAATCCGGAAGGGACTGAGCTTCTATGAGGTTTTCCATCCAAGAGACGCCACTGAAGGCCACTGCTGGACCGACACTCGCGCCGCCTGGCCGTTTCAGGCAACGGCCCATGGACGACGGGGCTGTTTTCGAAGCGGTCGATGGACGACTGGTGTCTGGTGTGGAGAAAGGCCCGAAGGATCCGAAGGTTGAAAGAAACAAGTGATATAAAGAAAAGCAGGGAACAGTGGAAGACATGTTTGAGGTTCCGGACTAGGCATACATCTGGATGAGTAAATGAAATCGTCGACGGCCATGTGTAAACTGAAGCCTTGCAGCCCGATGATCCTCCAACACATCCAATATCTCTGAAACTGGTGCTGGAAAGGCAAGCTTTCTATGTCCGGACGCCGAACAAGTATGAGTTTCGTCCAAACCCTTCGATGAGTCGCTCGGAAGCACGGTTGATGATGAGCCGCTCGTTCTTGATGAATTCACTACGAAGTCGGAGTGGTAAACAGAAACAAATGAAAAACACATGAAACAAATTCCATTTGGTAACAGCCCCAACGCTCCATTCACAGGTCAACCGGTCCCTCAAAACCATATAGGGATTGGGTGAGAAGGTCCGGACCCCGACCCAAAGGATTCGGGTCCAGCGTCGCGTGACCTGGTGGGAACTGCCTGGATCCACTGGGGACGACGCTGCAGGATTCACAGGGTTCTCTGCATTGTGCTGTTCACAGTGTATAGTCTGTAAGGAAACCACAGCTGTGGGTCAGTGAACCCAGCTCGCACATACCAAACAGCGAACAGCGCCTTTTTTCCTGTGGGACAGTGACATAAGAATCCTCACACTCACACCTCACAAACTTCACCATGAGGTGCCTGAACAAGGAGTGAAATCATGTGAAATCAAATTGCCCAGCTGAAAGAACGTGGGGTTTGCCAGATGGTGAACGAATGTGACAGATCTGAATTGGTTTCGCATCTGGTCGTACAGTATCGGGTGCAGCAACTTCAACCACGGGGCATCGTCTCCGCACCTTTCACGCTGGGCGAGCGCGCGGAAGCCGCTCCCTGGCAACATCGGTCTGCGGGTCTCTTCCGTCCACCCCAGCCGCTCCGTTCACAGCGGTGCGACTGGTCCAGACCCTCCGGCTGTGAAGGGGTCGCCGGTCTGGGCGCCGGTCGGAGCGGAAGGGACACCCAAAGCGTTGTTCAACGACGGTCGTGAGCTGGGCTGTGCTCTCGCAGCCCCCCGGAGTTCGGTAGAGCGGGGCAAATAAACCATGGAACACCTTCCTCCAAAGAGCTGTTCTTTTCTTAGTGCCTGTTCTTGATGAATTGGTCAAACAAGACTGACGCTTTGAGTGGCAGTGAAGCCATACCCTGTCCTATTCTAGGGTTGTTACGGTCACTGCCGAGTTGTCCGTTGTCCGGACATTCAGTCGCAACAAGCTCGGCCGAAGTTCACCTGCCCAGCACGCAAAAAGTCGACCGTTCGGAAGAAAAAAGCACCTCAAACTTGGCATTGCCAGGAGCCGCCTGCGTCGTTTTCCATAGGCACCAAGACTTCCTCCAAACATGTGGTCACTCCTGTGGTCATACGTAATTTCTACAGTAACAGTCATCGACGAAGTTAATGCAACTTTCCTGGATCTGGTGCTTTTCTCAGGGTGCCCTGTTCTCAACAGAAAAGTCAAGCCAGGAACTCTACGTATGTGCGGCATGTGCGTGCCACCTGGGTGGCAAAATCGAGCGGTTCACATACAAAGATCCTGCCACGATGTATCAAAAAAAGACACGTCAGCATACGTCAGCAAGCTTTTTTTGGTGGGAATGCCCGATCCAGTGCCCATATGGGATTCGGGAATTCTTTGGAACCGCCTATCAGGTTGTTCTTCGCATGTGACGGATCTCGACGGGTTTTTCCGAGCTGTGACGAATCCTGTGACCCGATCCCGGCGAACGGATTCTTAGAGCTGTTGGTGTCAGTCATTAATTGTAGAGATAGAAGACCAATGCCGCAACCGTCGTCCCTTGGAGAAAGCACTGGGTCCTCCGCAACCGTCTGGACCACACAAACGCAACGGTATTTGGAGGTTCGAGATCTGCACACTCTTGATTAGTAGCCGCCCATTTTGGATTGTAAGACTCTTCATATTATTTAATCAAGAGTCTACATTGCACAGGAGGTATTTTTTCTTTTTCCCATGTTTCACATTGCTTCACTGGTCGCCGTGGCCTTGGCGTTGGCACTCATCTTCTGCATGGACGACTGCGGCACGGTAAGCAGCTGGGGTCGGAGGCGGAAGCGGAGCACATGAGTATGCGTTTGCGTTGACAAATTGCGAACAACACTGTTCCAAATTACTGTACTACATTCCTGCAGCACTACTATAGACTCCTGGAAAGGCGTATGAACACTTTTTTTTGTGCGAAGGCCGTATTTGGACAGAATTTATCGTATGGACATTTTAATTAACGAATTAGCGTATTTAGCCGTATGGACAGAAAAACAATACCGTACAAAAGCGTACCCATATGAAACCCAAACTTTATCAACATTTTATCGACAAAAACCCAAAAATATATTGATAAAACCCAATCAAACCCAATATTCGGAGGAATTCCAGAAAATTTGTCCATTTGACAAAAATGGCCGGATGCACGGACTTTTTGTGCGAACGTGTTTGAAAAAAAAAAATGCACATTTGGATTCCCTGGCTGTTTCCAATTCTGCCACGCCCAATCCGAGTCATTGGGGATTCAGTTGGAACAGACTCGAACTATCACTCAAAGGTTCCGAACATGTTCTTCTCTCCCTCCGAGGTGCTGGAGATCCCGGGTGCTGGAAGAGATGGGAACGCTCCACGAACCGCGAACCGGCGAAGTGGTGAACCCAAGCCGTGGTTGCTGACAATGAAAACCGTGAACACAACGTCACGTACAATAGAAACCGTCGTGGTGGTGGTGCTATGGAATCAATGTGTCGGAGGAGTATATAATGTATGGAATCAACGTAGATGGATCTCACATCTGAGATTCGTTTGATGGGTTGGTGCCCTTTAATTTCCAAACCTTTAGACTGTGGGTCAAATCCGAGCACCAATTTTATCTCCCGTCAAATGAACCGATTCCTCTATAAGATGGTGTCAACCTACGGTTTGGTGAGGGAGGTGCCATGACTCGACTCATAACCATTTCCCCTGCCAGGTGAACGCGTCTCTCCGAGCTGTGACTCTCCGAGCGCCTCGCGCTGGATGCTCGAGCGACCACGGATGCTGCCTGCTGCAGAGCAAAGGTGGGAAACAGTCCAGAAATGCGGACAAGTAAGCCTCTTCAAGACATTTCAAGCACTCAAAAAAGGGCGAACTTGGCATGCCAGGCTTGTAGGCTGGTGACCTCATCCCTTTTTGGGCTGTCGAAAGCAAGTCACGGATGTCACGGTTTCTGTTAGTAGCTTCTTGTGACGAACGAAGCAAGAATGGTCCGATGCCAGGAGCCCCGTTCGTAGCTTCTTGTTACTTGATTTTCCACTCGACTTCACACCACTCGCTCAACCAGTACTCAGCTTCTGTGGGCGTTACTCTAAGAGAAGGGATCCGTCCGACGCGTTCTTTTTCGGGTTGAAGGACTTGGACTGGGTTGTCTGATGGCGTCTGACTGCTTTTTTGAGCGACGCGATGACGGGCTGATGTAAGGCATGGTCGAAATCACAAGGGACATGAACTTCTCACCTCAACAAGTTTCGCACAACTTACACTTTCAACCAGACCTCCAAGTGTTGCAACAGCTCAGTGTTGCAAGTGATTGGGAGGTGCACGTGCTGGGCATCACTTAGTGACCAAGGTGCAGCTGCCTAGCCCTGATTTCCCCAGCCCTTTTCCAGGCTCTGATGGAGTTCGACTTGCTGAACATTTTGCCGGTTGCGCGGGAGCTCGACTTGGCAAAGTCCCCCCGGATCGAAACTCCTGCAAACGGTGCTTTTGAAGCAAGTTCAGCATTATAGTGGTCCCCGAATTACTTAGAACAGGAGATCCTCACCAAGAACGTATTGGAATGCGTTCTATCTATGTAGGGGCCACTAGACTATAACTATACCCTGGCAAATCAGATAACAACGGAGCAGGATGAATGACTAACTACCAGCGTTGAGGCAAATGGAGCCTGCGCACTTGCTGCAAGGGCTTCTGGCTTGTGGCGTCATTCCGGGAGTGGACATGCTGTCAGCATGCGATGTGGACCTGTCAGCATACCAGGTGGCCATCGCTCACCAAATGGGGGCACCTCTCCAATTCTGCTGGATCACATGACTGTGCCGCTCTTTTCCTCTCCAGGGCCAGACACTTTCTTTGAAGCTGAGCTGCCTTCCTCTTCGACACCCGCGGCCATCCGCGGCCCTTCTGATTCAAACCTCTACAAGCTCCAAATGAAAAGACGTCAAGCCCTAGGGACCACGTGTGGCCAACCAACGGCCACTCCCCGCGAACCACACGAACGGGAAAGTCGTTCTCTTCCAGCATTTGGCGTGCAAGCAACGAACCTGGAGGCCACTCTTGGGCGTGTTCGAGGCACATGGCGCCGGGTCGTGATGGTGCCAACGGCTTTGGTGTGTCCAGTTGCCAATTTGTAAACGAGAATGGCTCGGTAGACTCGGCCGGACAGCACTGTGCCTTGTGGATCCTTGCGGTCCAAGCAGGGCGGGCGATGGCTTCCAACCTAGTAGCGATGGCATGCTGCCCTTTTCATGTTGGTGAGGCCCTGTTCGTGTTGCCCGTTGGACATGGAGAAAGTGGCGATTCCATGCTGCACAGAGTCGGTGAAACATAGTTCCCGACGGCGCCATGTGTTTCTCAAAACGTCGCTGCGACCCACTTCCCCCGTTGATGATTAAGGCGACAGCACATTCATTGACCGACTTCAGGATCTCAACTTCACCTGTGACCTGGAAAAACAATGAAAAACATATCCTTCTCGTCAAAGACTTCTCAGCCTTTTATCTTTACATTTCTATTTTTGTTATTTTTCCGAAAGGTCTTCAGCTTTCTCCTTGCTTTGCAAAAGAAAGACCAACGATTCTGCACCACAAACGCATTGGACATCATCTGTATGCGAGATGGGGCAAAAAAAACGCAAGCCACCGGTTTCCCCAAACATCGCTCCAAATGAATAGGGTACCCAGGGCTTCTTCGTTCGGAAGCTCCCCCGGACGCCCCCGTACCATGGCCAACCCCCTGCCGGACGACTGGAACCTCTCCACCGGGACAACGGACGGAACCTCCTCGTTCCCCAGGCGTCGCTCCGGGCCTCGGGTCGTCCATCCCGATCGAAAAATGATCGAGATGCTATGAGCACCAAACAGGTGGGAGGTATGACCGACCAATAGTCTATATAGATGTCTTATAGTATGACTGGACCCTCCAAACTTCTGGCACCCACCCACCGTTAAAAACCATGTCCCACAACGAAGGCACGACGGCGGAGCCCGACAGTGGTATATATATATATATATATTGTGGGTATATATATATATACTGACCGAAAACATGACCCATATTGAAAGCATGTATGATCAGGTATGATATGGTACGACTGTAGACTTTGAGGTACCCATTTGTCCGAGGTCTTCCGAACGACTTGAGACTTCGAGACTCTGGCGATGTCAATACAAAAAGGAATCAAAAAGGAGCAGATCACTAACCCTATATAATCAATTGGGGGCCGTGTTGATGTCTTCATGAATGTTAGTGATGTGTTTGGCAGCCGCTATGGTACGCCAGCGCGTCAGACGCGATGTCTGTAGAATTCACCTCGAAAACTGCCGTGCGAAGAGCCGTTCCAACTCACGTCTCAGATGGTTAGGGGAATGTACTTCTATTGGCCTCTCTGGGGGTCGCGTGCATAGATGAGGACCGCTGCGTTCATGAGTTCCTGGCTACCCATGCCTGCCCATGCCTTGCACGCCGTCAACCGCGCCGTCAGGCGCGTCTCGTTCGCTCGGTACCTCGTCCGAGCCGCTGGCCCGAAGGCGGCCCGTTCGGGCCCCTGAAGCGGCGCTGGCCACCTCCGTCCCAAGCGGTCGCAGTCGACCCTTCGGTCCGTCACTGCGTGCGGGCTCGGATTGATTCGAGTGATACTCTGACGTGATGCTCGAGCGACGTTCTCGAGTGATGCTGCGCCACTCCATGCCTTAAACGTCGCGTATTCCCTCCTGCTCAACATTCTGCTTGAGTTTGAGCTCGGCCATCGTCGCGCAGCGCCACGCTGAGCGTGCTGGGATCGTTCGTGGCTTCCTCGCACTACGTCAGGTGGAGAGGCACCAGGTCGATAGCGCCGATGTCCCGGACAGCTGGAATCGCCTGACCCCGGAAATTCCAACCTTCTATGGTTTGGTGGGTGAGGTTTTGATTCACCGCCATTTTGCCCTGCACCCAAACGTTGCAAGAGCAGAACCCCGAAAACGGAATTATTAGGTACACCCGGCTGCCAAAAGACTGGGGTCTTTTACACAGTTTGACCATGTTTGACCAGCATACCAAACTTTCTGCCGCGAAAACCTGCCACCCTCCGTTTTTTCTCGGGGCCGGATCCTCCAAAATTGCCCGCTTTTGGGAGCCTCTGAGCCATTTTCCTGAAAAAAAGCGCCGCTCAGCGACGATCCGTCCAGCCGTCCACTCCGCCCGAGTGGGGAGGGTGAACCAAACCAAAGACCACCGTTCCACGCCCAACGTTCGTTCCACGCCAGGATCGATTCGTCCCAGCGGCTGCAGGGAGTTCTCCCGGGACTGGGCCGGCGGGTGCCCCGGTACCGCTGGTTCGGCTGGGTGGCGGGTGGGTGGGTGGGGGGAGCAAAGCCTCTCACAGGACCCGCGGTTGGGGAAGTCCGAGACTGAGACCATTTAAACTACGGTGGGCCTGGCGTTGTAAAACAATGGTGCTTCGGCAGCCACTAAAATAGTAGTTGGAAGCCTCACGGGAACAGTTTTTGGTGACTTGTCACGAGGGTTCGCTTGGATTCACGAATGATTGTATCAGCGTCTGTATCAAGCATGAGGGGTATAAAGTCAGGAACAGGAAATGGGGAGATTTTTGTTCTGGCTCATCTACCCGTACCACTGGAGGGGAACTCACAATCAGGTACACTTTCAGAAAGAGCTGCTTTTACTGATATGCATTTGATGCAGTCTTGATGGCAAACACCATTGCCAGGGGAAGGTGTCCTGTGGTACACCCACCGTCTTTGGCATTTGGGACCATCCTCTTTTCATGCCAAGCCTTGATAGGCTTCGTTTCGTACGATGAGCGGTGAAACCAACGTTGCGAAGAGAGAACCTCTACGTGTTGCTACCTTCCACAAAACCTACGCTGGGCTTGGTGCGTCCGAGGACATCTTGAAAAATCTGAACCAGCTCACAACCCTCCCCTTCGATCTCAAAGGTGACGGGACTTGTTTGATGGCATCGTTGAGTACTTCAAAGAACGCGCAGCAACCAGCCCTCTTCTGGCCAAGGTACAACAGCAGCCCTGGGCCGTTGCAGCGAATCTTGCAGTGGGTGGCTCGTAGGGGGAGATTTTTTGCCCGCTACACCTGATTGGAATAGAATTTTCAGGGTTTCTCTCAACTTAATAATGGTTTTTAAGGACAACCCGCAATTTATCCAGGGAGATGTTGTTTTCGTTCTAACGTCGCAGGAGGTTTTTGTTTTGCATCTTGGCTCAAGTGAAGCCACAACGCGATGACATTTAAGTGACAAGTTGGGTCTGGGTGACCTCCTCTGGGGGGCTATTCCTTGATCTCGCGACAACATCTTGTTCCGGAGCTACATGGTGCAATAAGACTCACGTTCATGTGGGTTTCCCTGGCCCCATGGTTTGACGGTCTATTTCCCTTCGTCCAAAAAGTGCCTGGGAGGTCTCCCTTTGTGATTGGTTGCAGCTGATGGGGAACTAGCAGTGCGGAAAATGTTTGTTGTAAGCAGTTCGGTGCAGCTCCATTCGGTGGGACGTGCTCAAAGATCTTCGGTCTTCAGAGTGGTTGGCAAAACAGGCTTGATGAACAGAAGGATGCCATGTGCACGGCTGAGCTAAGTGAAACCCTCCAGCTTCAGTCCATACAGGTCAGTTTGATCCCATTCTACTAAGTTGATCCTACAAATATTGAATGAAGTTTCCGGGCCCAGGCTTTACTGGGTCAGACTGGACCAGGCTGGCTGTGTGTTTCATCGCTTCCGGTTTCCTGGCGGACCTGGCGGGACCGCCCATGTCGCCCATTGGCATCCGTCGGGTAGTCCGTCGGTCTGAGTCCGATTTGGGAGGGGGAAATGACTCCTGCACCACCTGTCCATCGGGAGTCTTCTTCCATCTTCCTTTCTGATGTTGCATGTTTTTCGTTTCTTGTTTTTTGTTTGTTCGCGGTTTTTCTTTATTTAGTTGTGTTTATGTGTCAACAAATATATATTCTTTCTATAGAGTTTCTTTCCTTTTTTGAGATATTTTTATTCTTCGTTCTTGTTTATGTTCTCTTCATTCCCTTTTTGTTCCATACATTTTCTTTCTTTTGTTCTTTCTTGTTTCATGTTTTTCTCTGTTTTTTTCTTGCCTGGGTGTCAAATAATGGTTGGTTTTTGCAAATAAAAATAACATTAACTTGGTTGCGAAGAGCCTACAAACGGTTCAAAGAGCCTGCAAAGCACGCTCTTGTTACAATATATCGCTTGTGGCCTTCAGTTTATGCTGACACCCAGCGAAAAAGGCAACTCAAATTACCAACTGGACCATCAGGGTTCAAACCAATGCACTCAAAACTCTTTTTAGTAGAGACCGATGCATTCAAAACTCCTTTTTAGAGACTGGTCTATGCCTGCGCAGGGTCTGCGCAACATCCCAAAACCAACACATCTCATGGCGGGCCCTGTTGGATTCATCTGTCTCTGGGGGCGTTGATTCACAGACGTGGGGCCCAAATCCACGTCTAGAGGCGTGTCTTGCTTCGTGCACTTACGGCGACTGGGCCCTGTTGGCGCCAATGCACCCAAACTATTAAGCCACCTCACTGTTACTTGATGTTTTCATTTGTATTTGGAGTTT